CCCTGCTCTCGGAGGAGTAAGATGCTTTTTCCTTCTCTCCTGCCCTTCCTAACCTTTCCCTGCTTTGCTGCTTGGAGACTTCTCCACATTTTTCATCCGAAACTAGAAATTATGGACATTTTTATTTTTATGGATTTGGTTAGCTGGTCTCTCAATAAAATTTTTGGAACAAAGTTTTTTTCTTCTTCCATGGGAGGACATCAAAGGTGGGACCCCTGTTCTTCTCTGTTCTGGATATATGTCTGGATTCTGATCACTGGATGCTGCAGATTGGCTTGGTGGTCTTCTGGTGTTCTACAAAACAGCATCGGTGGCTTTTCATCTCCTGGCTGACTGACCAATTTGATGGYTYGCCGTATTCTATCAGCACTCGGACATTTTGCCTTGAGCGAGCTGGACTCGGTCTGCAAGCGGTTCTATTGAGGATCGCMGGCCAGCTGTGGTCCCTGGACTTTGCTGGCCAGATGGAATTAATCTTGGAGAAGCTGATYGWWRGGCTCGGCAGAATTGTCCACACCATTTGCCTGATTGGATTTGCCACCTTGAGATGCACCAGCAGAACACTAAAGCAGATGGAAAATTGTTAWCYTCTGCCTGACTCTTTTGTTCCCAAAACAACTGATTACAGAATCTGGCTCTCCKCGACAACGGCCTTGATCTGTTGACTAAATTCTTCCTGGCTGGATTACGTTGATAAGGCTCTGCCCCATACCTTCCCCACTCCTCTCTCACCCATCTAATCTGGTTTACTGAGCAGGCTGAGGGCCGCAAAGAATGAACAGTTCCATCAATATTCTGAACTATGACTGCGCTGGTTTAGGGGACTGGATTCTTTGGGCCCCCTAATCTCACTTACTCCTCTGGCTAATAAATCTGCCCTATGCAGAGTTTTTTTCATAAACACCATAGTGTGTCAGTGTTGATATATGATGTTTTTTGATTTTTTCCTCATCTTCCCTTGTGTGGTTTTTCAGTTTTTCTGTTGTTCTGTTTATCTAAAGGTAGCGCAACTGTGTTTGCGCATGACGAGTCTTGACTGCCCCCTCCCCCTTCCCTGAATGTACAGCATCTTGTGAATTTATTTCTGTGAAAGGTGTTATATAAATAAGACTTTACTTATTTACTTACTAACTTACTTACTTACTTACAGACATTCACCCATGCACACACACATTCACACACTAATGATGGTAAGCTACAATGTAGCCACAGCTCTCATGGGGCACACTGACAGAGGTGGAGCTGCCATGCACCGGCACCACCGGACCCTCTGACCACCATCAGTAGGCAAGGCAGGTGAAGTGTCTTGCCATTGGACACAATGACTGAAACGGCTGGACGGGGAATTGAACCGGCAACCTTCCGGTTCCAGGACGACTCCCCTAACCACTCCACCACATCTGTGAACCACCCCAGGGCAGGTGGAACCCCATCATCTGCATAAAGAAGATGGAGATCAAACAGGATCTGAGACAAGGGACAGCCCTGCTGGAGTCCACCCCACACAGAACAAATCTTGACTTTGTGAAAAGAATGCAGACACAGCTCCTGTTTTGATTATACAGAAACTGGATAGCCTGTGTAAACAACCTTGGTATACACCCACAGCACCCCCCCCCACCCCCCACTGAATGCCTCTGGGTACACAGTCATAAGCCTTCACCAGGTCCACAAAGCACATGTAGACTGGAGTGTCAAACTCCCATGACCCCCTCAGCCACTCTTCCAGGATAAAGATGTGGTCTACTGTCCCACGACCAGGATAGAAGCCACTATGCTCCTCCTGAATCGGAGGTGCAACAATCGATTGAAGCCTCCCTTCCAACACTCTGGAGTAAAATTTCCCAGGAAGGGCGAGATCCCACAATAGTTGGGACACTCCTCCTTTTTAAAAATGGGAAGTACCACTCTGCAAAGATGCTGTCCCAGTCCTCCAAGCAATGTTGAAAAAACATGTCAACCATGCATCTTGCGATGAAACCTGTCCACTCCTGGTAGTCCTTCTCTATGGCCTCTCTTAATTCCTCTCATGCCCAAGATTTTGAATTCACAATCACCAAAGCTGCAGTCCTTCTGGCCACCCTGCACCTGTCAGCTGCTCCAGGAGTAAAGTACTTTGAGTCAAGTATCAGGTACACACATGGACCACATAAGCAACAAACAACAGTAAATACTTTCCCTCCTGTAGTCTGAAGCTGCAGAGAAGCGACCCTATTATTACCAGGGAAAACTTCAACACTGAAGCTTGTGAGTATCCCCACACTCACCCAATGGCTCTATCCCTAGGCAACTCTGGAGTAGGAGAACATCCAGCACCTCTTCAAGAGTTGGGTTCCAGAATTCAATCTGTGAGTAGAAGTGAGCCCAACTATATCTAGCTGGTATCACTCAACCTCACACACAAACTCCGGATCCTTCCTGGTGAGTGAGGTAGCTTTTAATGTCCCTAGAATAAGTCTATGCTGGCAGAAGTTGGCACAACCAGGAGCCCTCCTTAATCTGGCATCTATTGACTCCGACCTTGATGTTCTCCCTGCAGGTGGTGGATTCATGTGAAGGTCAAGTCAAGTCAACTTTATTTATACAGCACATTTAAAAACAACTGCCGTTGGCCAAAGTGCTTCACATATTGCAACTAAAKACAAAGCATTACTGACAAAACACCAACAATGATAAAACCATAAAAATAGACCAAATAAATAGGGAAAACAACTCTCATACTACATTAAAAGCTTTTGAAAACAGGTGTGTTTTGAGGAGATTTAAAAACTCCAAGAGTTGAGGCCTGTCTAATGTTAAGGCGCAGCTGGTTCCACAGTTTGACAAGGTGACATCCTTAATTCTTTTAGACTTGGCCTGACCAAACCCCAGCAGACAATGCTAAATCACCAGGGGCATAATTTATAAAGGAATGCGTGGAAACCATAKTAAAAGTGAACGTACGGCCAAAAGGTGAAAATGGTGTATGCCAAAAAAAATTCAGATTTATAAAACCGAGACTTTATCACTAAAACCCATAGTTGGAAGCAATTGCATATCAGGAGGAACTATTTTGCGAAGCAAATAAATTTTTCCATTAGGAGTCAGCCACCCCTGTTGGTTCATAAAAGCCTGGAGCTCCAACGGAAGAGGAGTTGGCAAGGACAGTCCAGAAACAATTTGGGATGAGAAAAAAACTTTATAAACAGATTAATTGTATTTTATACTGCGTATTGCTAACAGGTCTATTATTCTGACAGAAAGTGCAGCTGTGATCTGGTTCTGAATGACAGCTTTATAGTTGACAGCTGCCCCACCCCCTCTTCCCGGTACTGCGTATTCCGGCACAGAATCTTTTAGTGGTACGCATTACTGGACCATACCAACTTATTTTCACCCCTGATCATTACACAGTGTGGCTATAATTCCTCACTTCACCATCGGTGTCGCAGCTTCCCGTCTGCAAAATTAGTGTACACATGGGTCAGAGCTGGCGTGAGGGACCGCATATTTTCACGTCAAGTTGGAGATTTATAAACCACAACCTTTGCGTGAAAAGTGGCGTACGCAAGTTTCTGGGCTCGTTTTGTGTTTACGCAAGCTTTATAAATCCAACCCCAGGTGCTTTTCGGTGGCTCCTCCACCAGGCCTGACTCCAGGGAGGTGCCCCATTTCCCTTTTCAGATAAGGTTTCCTAGTCTGGCCCTTGCCTTCCTACTCAGCTCCGCTCAATTCTAGTTTCCCTTCACTGCTCCGTCTGGCATTTCTCCTATTGACAAGGATTTCGCTGGCAGATTTTTAGCCGAACCTGTAACATCGATTTTCTGCGCAGTGTCTYCTTGTAGTTTATTTTACCTGGGCCAATCAATAAACAGAAAGCGGGGTTTTGAATGACGTCGATTTTCTGTGCAGTGTCTGCTACTTAGTTAGCAATAGCAGTGGAGGAAGTGAATGAAGCCAGTCTGTGTTGATAAGGCTTCCAAATTAAATTAAATTTGTCTGACAAAGCAGCAGCTCTCATTTACAGCCGTCTCYTTCAGCTCGGTACTTCTCTCCTCTCAGTAGAGTTGTTTACAGCACACATGATTTCTGGTTAGCTTCTTAGCTTAGCCTCCTTCACAGTGACATACGTCGTGGCCAACCGATCCAATCATTTTAAACTACAGCAGAGGCCACGCCTCCAGCAAGAATCACTTCTCTACAGRAGAGAGTCCAGACCCTCTGTTCGAAGCAAAGTGAAGGACAAGGGTCTGGTTTTTACCAAGCTAAAGGTTTCCTGATGTGTTTGTTTTTTCTTCATCAAGGGTTGTTTGCTCTTAGTCTGACCCCTCCCTTGAGGCCTGTTTGCTATGGGAGACGTTATCAGGCCCTGAGGCTCCTTACATTTTAGCCCCAGGATCACAGGGGTACTCAAACCACATTAGGGTGGCTATTCTGCGATGGGGTTAAGTTGATTAGAATAATCCAAATTTGGTWAAATCAATGATTCCTCTTTGAGTTGCTGCTTGATAGCTGACGTGAACTGCTATTAGCATCACCTAGCTAGCAACAATRAATACTGCTTTAAGAAACTAAACTCATTGTCTAGTACAAATGTATGTTATTAACAAAGCCAATCAGATTAAATACACTATAGATTGTTTTTATTCTGTTACATTTTCTTATTACATCCTAAAACTGGTTCTGGTTCAGTTTAGTCTCCTCTGTCCCAAAATGGCCAACTGTGAATGAGTGTCACGGCTCACCTTTGACCCAAACACTGGGTTTTAGACCCACTATTGGATGAAACCAACCCAACCATTGACCCAACAGCTTTGACCTAGAAAAGGAGTTATCAAAGGAACCCAGCAGTTTTTAGTGTATACACACAACTGACTACTAATTTATGAGACTCTTACTTCGAGGCCCAGATCCAGTATCAAAGTAGGAGAAGAGAGAATCTAACTCATCAGGACAAAACAGAGACTCTCGTCTGAACTTGGCAGCTGCTGTGAGACAAGAAATGAAAAACACGAGTTAGATTACAGAGTAAAAGTTTATATACAGTGGGGTTCAAACGTTTGGGCAGCCTTGTTAATTTTCCTGATTTATTTTATAAATCATTGATTGTTTGGATAAAAAAAAATCGGTAAAATATATCTATAGGGCGCAAACACAGTGATATTTGAGAAGTGAAATGAAGTTTATATGATTTACAGAAAGTGTGCAATAATTGGTTAAACTAAATTAGGCAGGAGCATAAATTTGCGCACCATTGTCGTTTTATAGATTTCAAACCTTTAGAAATAATTATTGAACTCTAATTTGGTTTGGTAAGTTCAGTGACCTTTGACCTCCAAACACAGGTGACTCTTATTGTGAGAAAGGGTATTTAAGGGGGGCAGTTATAAGCTTTTCTCCTCTTTGCATCTTCTCTGAAGAGTGGCAGCATGGGAGTCTGAAAACAACTTTCAAATGAGCTGAAAACAAAGATTGTTCAGCGTCATGGTTTAGYGGAAGGATACAGAAAGATATCTSAGAGATTTCAGCTTTCAGTCTCCACTGTGAGAAACATTGTAAGAAAATGTTAGACCACAGGCACAGTTCAAGTGTAGGCTCCAAGTGGCAGACCAAGACTAATCTGGAATAAACAGAAGTGAAGGATGTTGAGAAGAGTCAGAGTCAACCCACAGACCAGCACCAAACACCTGCAACATCATCTTGCTGCTGATGGAGTCACTGTGCATCGTTCAACTATTCAGKACACTTTACACAAGGAGATGCTGTATGGGAGAGTGATGCAGAGGAAGCCTTGTCTCCGCCCACATCACAAACAGAGCTGCTTGAGGAATGCTAAAGCACATTTGGACAAGCCAGCTTCATTTTGGAATAAGGTGCTGTGGACTGATGAAACTAAAACAGAGTTATTTGGGCAGAACAAGAAAAACACCTGCTACCTACAGTAACATGTGGGGCTGGTTCCATCATGCTGTGGGGCTGTGGGACCAGTACATGGACTGGGAATCTTGTTAAAGTTGAGGGACGCATGGATTCTAACCAGTATCAGCAGATTCTGGAGACCAATGTCCAGGAATCAGTGACAAAGCTGAAGCTGCTGAAGCCGGGGCTGCATCTTCCAACAAGACAACCACCCTAAACACTGCTCAGAATCTACTGAGGCCTTCATGCAGAGGAACAAGTAGAATGTTCTGGAATGGTCATCTCAGTCCCAGACCTGAATATTATTGAAAATCTGTGGTGTCACTTAAAGAGAGCTGTCCATGCTCAGAAACCATCAAACCTGAATGAACTAGAGATGTTTTGTAAAGAAGAATGGTCTAAAATACCTTCAGCCACAATCCAGACTCTCATTAGAAGCTGTAGGAAGTGTTTAGAGGCTGTTATTTCTGTGAAAGGAGGAACTACTAAATATTGAAGTAAGTTTCTTTTCATGGTGCCCAAATTTATGCACCTGCCTAATTTTGTTTAACCAATAATTACACACTTTCTGTAAATCATATTAACTTCATTTCACTTCTCAAATATCACTGTGTTTGTAACTGATTTTTTAAATCCAAACAATCAATAATTTCTAAATATAAATCAGGAAAATTAACAAGGTTGCCCAAACCTTCGCACCCCACTGTAAGAACACGTCTTCTGTGGTTTTACAGGACAATCAGCTCTTCGTAAAACAAACTTACTGGAATTAAAAATCAAGAATTATTAAGAATGAGGTGTGCTGAGTTGAGACTGAGTAAAAACAGAAGAGCCGTTTTTAACAAACAGACTATCTGACAAACCTGCAGAGCGCGTGGAAGGGGAGGTGCTGCCGGTCTCTTGTCGGTATCGCCGCAGTGTTTTGGGGACAGTGTTGGCACTGTTGTATCTTCGACACACCTTTGTGTTCCACCGCCGCTCAGACTTCCTCTCCCCATTCATAAGAACCTCTGTGGAACTCAGCTTCTTCAGGAATTTCTTCTCTACATACTTGGCCTTTATCCAGGTCTCTTTTTCTTGTCTACACAAACGCATCATGTTAGATTTCAGTGGCTCAAAAAAAAAAACATTTATTAACCAGTTAGATGCATTTTTACATATTCCTACCTCGAACTGGACATTGATGGTTTCTTTAGGCCTTGTTCTTGGTAGGAACCTTCATAGATGTGGTTGACGATGCTATTTCCAAGCTCACACATCAACTACAAGACATTAAAAGAAAAATAATATCAATAGTCATCACATTAAGATGGTGACTTGTGCTGCATCAATACAATTTTTAAGAATGCCTATGCATAAGAATTAAAGCAACCTTAATAACCTTCACATTTTATTCTTCTTCACTCTGACACAGCTCTGGCAAACCTTCATAAAAAGTACATTAAAACATGTACTTTTTCCTGTCCTGACTGATACTCATACTCTGAGATGATCTTTGGTACAGATATATCAAAAACACATAAACACAAACGAMTTTAATACAATTCAGGATTTTTTACAGTTAATTTTGTAGTTTTTACACAGTCACTGTTTGTGTGAGGCAGCATATTTAGTTGGGTTTCTGTCTGTTTGTCCTATAAAGAGTGCTGTCAGGGAGTGAGAGCCGTATGTGGTTACCATGGTGACCCTAAAGAGCCACAAACGGCAGCTTTAATATTTTGTTTGATCTTGGTTCTACTTACAAAATTTAGAAAGTTAAGACACCAAAATGTTGGCTTTTTGTCAATTAAAAAAATAAAACATTTATTTATTTGATCATTAATTTAMCAGATTGGATTCAGTTCATGGTGCTTATTGGACTTCAGAGGAAAAAACTGATGTAACTTCAGGCTGCAGCTGTTCTTCAAAAACTCTAAGAAGTTTTCTTGATCTAAATTTGTAGACAAATGATGCCTCTAACTTCTGATGTTTTTTATACTAAACATTTTTATCCTGTTGTATAAAAATCCTCTGTCATGATGTTTAACGTAGAATTTATATGTCTAAAGCTCTTCCTGCCGAGTCGTTACCTTTAATAATTCTGGTTCCCACGAGTCAAGTGTGAGTGAGCGCACCTTCGAGCAGTGAACTCCTAGACTCCTGCAACAAAATGTTTATCAGAAAAWAATTAAAATTATTAATCTGTTTAAGTATAATAATAATACCTCAAATGTCATGACTGTGAGGCTGCAGAAGAAAAGAAAGTAAACTTTATTTATATGTGAGCCATCATATCAAAATGAGGATTAAGTCAAATTTGGTCAAAATGACCTAATTA